TAATAATATATACTACTATTATATATATATATATATATATATATGTGTGTGTGTGTGTGTGTGTGTGTGTGTTTGTATGTGTGTGTGTGTTTGTGTATAGAATCGCCCCACCACTTTCTTGCTACATCTGACTACACTCTATTTCTGATATACTTCTACGCATCCCTTGAGTTATAGTATATGTACATGGCATTATTATACAAAGCACTCCTTACTATAGCGTGATACGATAGTCTTCTACATTATACACAGAAGGCTATGGTGATATCCATATTGCATATTGCCTTCCTAAAACAAATTGGATCACTACATATCTCGTAGTGCTCACATGGCCTGATAAACGTTATATGTATACTTATTGTTTATTTATTCTATTTATAGGAAATATTTAGTTACTTCTATATATAGTATCCTTGTACTGTTTGCAAAGACAGGTTTACAAATATTCAAAGTATGACTTTTAATGCTATTTATAGTCCTGTTACCACAGTGCCATAACCATACTACGTGGTGGTTTGTAGTTCAACTTCCAATACTTCTGATTTTGTTTGGCAAAGTCAGGTTAGCACATATACGAAGTGTAACTTCAGACACAACCTGACAAATTAACTATGACATTATATATAAACTATCTATAATATTCCTAACACACAACTTGACAAATACACCATGCACGACTCCACATCCTACATATATTCTTCTAACCACAGCACCATACACCTTCAAACCCTAAACCCTAAACCCTACCTGTTGTACTCTTCACACAGCGTTGACGTGGACACGGCCTGTTCGAAAGAGCTGATGAAGTTGGCCAAGATCCCCTGCGACACCTACGAATCAGTACTCACCATTCTGCAACTGTCGAACTACGGACCGCTATTGCAGCTGTTCGGTACATAACTCATTATATGTGATGCATGTGTATACCGCACTATGGCGTGTAGGTGGCGTAGTGAGAACAGTTATAACTGCACGGACCTGTCAATATCTTTCTCCTGCGCTTATTCGTGCGCATGCGGCTGTGCGTATGTGTGGTGCATATGTCTATATGACATAAGCTGCAAGTATTTGTACTATATGTTGCATATGTCTGTATGAGGTCTATTATGAGTGCATGAGAAATGCGGTACAATGACATTGCGAACAAGTCTATATATAAATTTTTGTGTTTGGTCGGTGTGGTATCGTTCAGGCTATCGCAGTATCTTACTGATTCCTTGAGAAAAATGAACCCGCAAACGGTTCCGCGCCATCTCCTAGTTTGGTCACGCTTCTTAATATGGATATACCTACCTATCTCTGAACGCTCTGTAGGCTTTACCGGGCGAAAGGCCATCTCTGTGCACATTGTTAAGAAAATGCTTGAGAAAGGCGAGATGGTTGATTATGCCACAGATATCGATGCACTCCTGGATCTCATCAACCCTCTCATGGTGGACCAGGAAGACCAACCCACCAGGACTGAAGGTGTGTGAGTCTAGGATGCATCTATACAGAGATATGCGTGAATATACTTATCTATAGTTCTAT